GAGTCAGATACTGCAGAAAAAACACATAATTCTATAAAACCCCCAAAACACATAATATCCCCACAAATGTTACATCCCCTGATAGCCCTGATATGGGTGAACAACATATCCAAAAATCACCCAGATCAGTTCAGGGGTTCAGGAATTCTATGGCAGTCATTATTTTGACTGAACACAGGCAGGGTGCCATGCCCAAAAGAGTTCCAGAGAATCAGGGCTTGCGGTCAGTCTAGTTTGGTAGTTTGAAAATGAACAAACTACCGAACAGTGTCAATAATCTTACCCTGGATCTTGTTCCATTCATTTAGACAAATGATCCCACCGAACAGGGCCCTTTTAACTTTTATAGAACTGAACGCAGGCGATGAACCAGTTTAGTAGCCCTTCTCTGAACTCTCTCTAATATTGATACTTTAGAGAGAGTTCAGAGAAGGGCTACTAAACTGATTCATGGATTGCAGGATAAAACTTACCAGGAAAGGTTAAAGGATCTTAACATGTATAGCTTGGAGGAAAGACGAGACAGGGGGGATATGATAGAAACATTTAAATATATAAAGGGAATCAACACAGTAAAGGAGGAGACTATATTTAAAAGAAGAAAAACTACCACAACAAGAGGACATAGTCTTATATTAGAGGGGCAAAGGTTTAAAAATAATATCAGGAAGTATTACTTTACTGAGAGGGTAGTGGATGCATGGAATAGCCTTCCAGCTGAAGTGGTAGAGTATAGTTAGGATAGCATTATGCCTATCCCACGCATGTTTAAACTCCTTTACTGTGTTAACCTCTACCACTTCAACTGAAAGGCTATTCTGTAGCAGTGTAAGCATGCAGAAGCCAAACACAGAGATATGGACACAAATCTTCAGGAAGTAAGAGGCCTTTATTCACATTACCGATCGGGTCTCAGATGAACTCCTGTTCCAACATTCTGAGAGACCAACACATAGTGTACATTCCTTATATAGCACTATAACTCCTCCCATTAATAGCTACACCCACATATACCTTTAACCAATCAATGAGCAGAATATAGACTTGTACATCTAGTCAAACCACATGGCCCATCCAAGACAAAGGAAATAAGTGCAATTTCAGTTCCTGCATTCCTGCACATGCTCAGTACACTGATGACAGTATCCTAGCTACATGTAGCTAACCAACTGACACAACATACACATATGCCACATGGAGATTTTGGCCTACTAAATTTTGACCATGCTGGAATCCCATCACATTCCCCCCTTTGATGCCTCTGATATAACATTATTCCAGATGCATCACCAATCACAGTTTTACCTACATCTCTCAAGTAGCCATTGAACCAGAGTAGACCTTGTAAGCATCTTAAAAACTCCTTCAACATTCTTCATCCTGAATATATTCTCTTCGGGCTAGGGGATCATATCTTCCAGACAGCCATTACATGGGCAGCTGTCTTTCTCTCTATAGTACTCTCTATAATACTACGTAGGGACCTTACCACTGGTGGAATTAGACAGGGCAGGAGGAGGCACAAAAAAAATATAATAAATTCTACTCCTCCTACTAATGTCTTAATTCCTCCAAGCTGCTCATACCAACTTCCAAACCAACTACTTAGGTTATACCCATTCCAGACCTGAGTAGGTACATGCACAAATTTAACCATGTGGCTTGTAAGTTCAGCCACTGCCTGCCCTTCATCATCTATGTGAAGACAACAGTTACTTAGATTAAACTTTCCGCATACACCTCCTTCTACTGCTAGTAAGTAATCAAGGTCTAGCCTATTCTGGTATATGGCTGATCACATCTTGGTATTTTGCTTAGTTAGAAGATTAAGCGCTTGAGCTGTCTCATTAGTAATAATCTCAACCACCGCCTGTAGTCTAATAATGCAGTTGAGCATATATATCGGAGTTCTATATCCATAAGTGCCATCTTCTGCCCAAGTAGCAGGTCCATAATAATTAATAATACGTTGGGGGGGCCACTCATCATCTTCCCAGCTACCTATATTCAAGGTCTCTCCTGTTTCGATTGGCAACAAGAAGAAGGATGGCTTTGGCATACCTAATACACATGCCCCTTCCCAATCTTGTGGTAACTCCGAATAAGTTTTCTTACCACAAATCCAGTGTAAATTTGCTGGGGCTTTCCAACTAGATGTAGCCGATAAGTCAAACCATACCTCCTTTAAATGAGTGTAATTGGCAAACGGATTAGTAGGTTCCGAGACATTTGAAGCTGACCACCAAGTAGTATTTTTAGTATTAACATTATAGGCTTTTTGTCCCAAGTAAGTTAGCTCACCTACAGACGTGTTATACATTGTCCCTTTCCTGGCTATACAAACATGACCTATAATGGAGGTTTTTAACCACCATTCCGATTTACTTCTAACACTTACTTGATAATCAGACTGGAAAGGTATCTGTTGTTCATATGTCTCAGAGCCAGGGTACCATATTTCCTTTGCCTCCCATGGCCACTGGTCTCCCATATTGGTACCTCCACACACATAGCAATTAGTTACATTAAGACTACCTGCAATACCCTCAGCCAAATCAATAAATAGGTTCTTAACATTATGGGGAATTTTATCCTCAACACTCATCTCCTCATAGAAGGAATGAGAAACCTGATGAGTTTGGGTTGCCACTGTCTCAGTTTCAAGACCTACATATATTATTGTTCCTGGATCTACTCCTGTGCCATATATATTTGGAACCCAAACAGACCTCCGAACCTGTCAATAAAGTGCTACAGATTGGAAATGGTCATGTGAACGGGGTTACACACATAGTTTTACAGTATGGTAGGCAACCTTTGGATAATCAAATCTTGATCCACTGTTTTTCCCCGGTTGCCCAACCTACACATGACCAATAGGGGCAGAAGTTAGTCTCTATTTGGGCAGTCATGATCAGTAGATCTTTTACTGGGACATATGGGTTTAATGATAAATACTTAAGTTCATTCCCATTTAAGATTACCACATACATTCCAAAGTCTTCCACTACCCGAAATCGCCTTACATGCATCAAATAATAGAATACCCGTGGAATGTATGGTGCTTATCACAGTCCTATTTATTAATGTCCCCTGGGAGTTACTATTCCGAATTACCAACCAAATTGTACGGGGTTGGAATTGGGGATCGAAACATTTAGACTCTCCTGATATTGGCTTGCACACACTATAATCAATATCCAAATATCTACATTTAGATACAGATCCCTTACATTCATACTGTGAGTGCCAGATGAGAGTTTGGGATATTTGGTTACCTGTTTTAGTAGTCTTAATGCAACTATCGCAATTCGGTATGTCTGTACTCCTACCTTCCTGAAAAATCATAAAAATACTAAGACACATAATAAAACACATTATTCCTGAAATCCTCATTTTTCTTCGACCGTGCGATGGCCTCTCAGCTTCCCGATTGTGAGGGCTGCAAGGATGTTGTTCTTCTGATCCTCACTTTCCTTCACAGAGATCCCTTCGAGATACTCTGGCTATGACACGTAGGCAGGTGGTCAGGCTTTATTATGGCCGTCAAAACACCTACTTGATGATCTCTGTAGACTTTTAACTAGAATGTCTCGATATCCCCTCGTACTTTTTCTCACGACATGTTCAATCCAACTGGGTTATGCGCTTCAACCGGGTCCTGCAAGGATTCTCAGGATCTGGAGTAGCTTGCCAAGAGTCTGCCGCTGGTTTAATCGTAGAATGATGAATCCAAGGAGTCACTTCCGCCACCTTTACAGCTGTTGGGGTAGATAAAAGAACAACATACAAAGGCTAACAGGATACACCCCGAGCTTTAACTCAATATGTATTGGTGGGATATTACAAGCAAGTCCTGGAGGATTATTTTCTTCCCATACTCCTGGAATGTCAAATAAGGATACATCACTCTTAGGATTAACACTTGTCACTATGGAATAGAAGCGTCATTCTTCTTCCCTTGGCACCGATATCGCCATTATGCCTGGTAATCCCTTAAACTTCAGAGATGTTGATCCATTAGGTAAAAGGTTATCTGAGCTTAAAGCTTCGATAATAGATCTCGTCCTAAAAGTTGAATCGGACACTCTGGCATATATAGGAACTAATGCTTCACCACATGGCCTCCCAGAATACAAGTGCGACTCTTAAGAACCGGTCTAGCTGCACTTCTCCCAGTAGCTCCTATCACAGTTATAGTCTTCCCCGAAGGCGGAGCCACCATCTTAGTCACCACAGAATGTTCAGCACCTGTGTCGATCATGAAAGAACTTCTCTTTCCCCCTATTGCTACATTGACCATAGGGTCCGCTTGACCAAGTGGAAATGGAGCCCGGTCGGTATCAATAGTCTTCCATGATCGTATCAGCCAGACCCACAAAATCTCTATCCTCTCTTTCTCTAGGTCTCTGCGTGGGTGGATAGTATCTGTCTCCTTGAACACTTCCTCTACTATTCCCATCATTCCCTCTAAAACTTCCTCTTCCTCTATAACTACCACTATAACCTCCTCGTACCCTTCTCTCTCCTTGTCTATCACCTTCATACTGCTCTCTCTGTGGACACTCACTCTTCCAATGTCCCTCCTTTCTACAATACGCACATTGATTCCTACTTAAAGGTCCCTTGCTCAGCCTATTCTCGTCTCCTCTATTCACTTCCCTGTCTTTCTACACTTAAGATAGCTACCGCTAGCATATCTGCCTTTTTCCTCATCTTACGTTCTTCCTCCCGCTTTACCTCCGTCTCCCTATTCATATATACTTTATTTGCAATCTCCATTAGCTGTAATATGGACATCCCTACAAATCCCTCTAATTTCTGTAATTTCCTTTTAATATCACCTTGGGCCTGGCTGACAAATGCTGAGTCTATCATTTGGAAGTTTTCAGGGGCTTCAGGATTGAAAGGAGTGTACAATCTATTTGACTCAAGCAGTCTCTCATAAAAAGCATTACATGACTCATCAACCTTTTGCAACACCTCAGCCATCTTTGACATATTAATTGCCTTCTTCCCTCCTTCCTTCATGCCAGCAATTATGGCTTCCCGATAAGCACTTAGTTGGGGCATGTCAGTGTCAGGGACCAGGAACCAGACAGAGACAGAACTAGATGCAAACACACCTTTATTAATAAATAACAAATAAATAACAAAAGCAAAGTCCAGGAATCAAGCAGGGGTCAGTCACCAGAGCGGGTAGTCAGACAAGCCAGGATCAGGAGCACGGAGAGCAGCGGAGTCAGGAACAAGGCCGGAGTCAGGAACCAGGAGCAAACAGGAAACACAGGAACAAGGAGACTTCTGGGGAACAGGAAACCACGCAAGGGCAAGGAGGTTCTGGGATTTGCTGCTTAAATAGGCAGCACTGATTAGCAGCAGGGTTGATTACTACTCTCAGGTGAGTAACCGTGGCAACATGCTGAAGGAGCTGATAGTAATTGCAGCTGA